GTAATATGGTCGCTGTTTGAAGTTTATAATCTGATTATGTGTGTCTATGTTGAGAGGGAAGAAATATGGGGTGATATCTCTATCAAAGAAGCGTGGCAACGAGTTGCAGGCTGGGTAATTGTAATGATTGTCACTGTCAACTTATTCAGAGTATTTATGAATGATCCAGCAATGTTTAAATGGTATATTTTCACTAATATCTTAATGGCTATTATGCCAGGGTTATATTGGGAAAAGCGAGGTACGCAGGTTGGGGCATCGTGGGGATTGGCCCTTGTCATATTAGTTGGTACTATTAATTCATTTTTACCAACCAACATGTGGGCGCTCGTCAGTCCCTACTTCTCAATTGCTAATAACCCATGGTTCTATGTGGTAGGTATCGTTGCCATCTTCTTTGCCATCAGAAATCTTTGGGTATTGAAACATTTACCAAGTAAGAAAGAAGTAATGCCATCTGGTAAAAAATATATCTGGTAATGTCAACCAGTTGATTTTATAAAGACAAAAGCGGTCGCTATCTAATGTTAGCGACCGCTTTTCATGTGAAATGTTTTATTGATAGAAGAAATGTTGGACGGCTTGATAACTAGTATCATTGCCAACGAAATATAAAGTGTCGCCGGACTCAATGACAGCATAAGGGCCAGGCGAAACAATCAGATCTTCATTGTGCAAAATGCCGATGACAGTGGCGCCGGTATTTTGCCAAAGGTTTAGCCCACCAATTGATTGATTTAACTTTGGACTTGCTTGATCTAACACTAATTCATATGGTGTGAGAGGATTGTGTTGTTGCACACGTTGCGTTTGTTCAAACAAAATTGATAATGCACCTGATAAATTATCAAGTGCCGATTTTTGCTCGTCAATGAGATCGTTGATTTGAACATGAATATTTTGAATATTAGTTGTTTCTGCTGCCTGATTCAAAAATGACTTGGCTTTTTCCCGTGATAAAATTTCGACGCCACTACCATGAACGGCACGCACAATATCCAAATCTGACAAGACATTAATCGCTTTACGAGCTGTTTCCGCAGACACGCCAAATGTAGTTGATAGCGTCGAGCGCGCATGAAGTTTGGTACCAACACGGTATTCATTATTAACAATTTTTTCTGCAATTAAAAAAGCAATTTTGCGGTAACGCGGTTCTCTGATTTTGGGCATTTTATATTATCCTAATAATTAAAAATTTGACACAAGTGGCAATCTGTGTAAAAATATAAGTTGTCACTTGAAGTAACAACCTGATAATTACAATGGGTTGTCACTTTATTTTATAGTTAAATTCGAAAAGAATCAAGGAGGAATGTGACACGCGCAGTATTGTTTTATCCCAATCACTGTGTGATGTGCATGCTAAAAAATGTCTAAAGTAGAAATTAAGCATTTAACCAAGATTTTTGGTAAGCGCCCTAAAGCGGCACTCAAAATGGTTAAGCAAAACAAAAGCAAAAATGAAATTGTCGAAAAGACAGGGAGTACAGTTGGTGTCTACGACATTAACATGTCAATTGAAGAGGGCGAAATATTTGTCATCATGGGGCTTTCTGGATCAGGAAAGTCAACGTTGATTCGCTTGTTAAACCGGTTAATTGAACCGACAGATGGGCAATTGTTTATTGACGGTCAAGAAATTACGAATTTGACTAAAAAACAAATGTTATCAATTCGTCGCAAAAAGATGAGCATGGTTTTCCAAAACTTTGGTTTATTTCCACACCGTACCTTACTTGAAAACACAGAGTTTGGGCTAGAAATTCAAGGTGTGCCAAAAGCGCAGCGTCGTCAGCGCGCAGAACAGGCTTTGGATAATGCGCAACTATTATCATTTAAGGATCAGTATCCTAATCAGCTATCTGGTGGTATGCAACAACGTGTTGGATTAGCTCGTGCACTGACCAATGATCCTGACATTTTGTTGATGGATGAGGCTTTCTCGGCGTTAGATCCGCTAGTACGTGGTCAAATGCAGGACGAATTATTAGATTTGCAGGCTAATGTTCAAAAAACAATTATTTTTATCACGCACGATTTGAATGAGGCGTTGCGTATTGGTGACCATATTGCCATCATGAAAGATGGTCAGTTGCAACAGGTCGGCACTGGAGAAGAAATTTTGACTAATCCTGCAAATGATTATGTCAAAACGTTCGTTGGTGATGTTGATCGCACAAAGGTTTTGACGGCTGATAGCATTATGATTCCGGCATTAACTTCTAATATCTCAGTTGATGGACCCACAGTTGCCCTACGCAAAATGTCTGCTGAAGAAGTCTCTGGTGTTGTGGCGGTTAACCGTCATCGCCAATTTATTGGTTATTTGTCATCTGAAGCGGCGGTTTCAGCTCGACGTGACAAATTGCCACTGGCTGATGTTGTTGTTGAAATGCCAACTGTAAAACCTGATACATTGATATCTGATATCATGCCGATTATTTATGATGCACAAACACCAGTAGCTGTTATTGATGATGATAACCGTTTGAGAGGGGTTATCATTCGAGGTGCTGTGCTTAAAGCGTTAGCAGATACGGAAGGAGACGGTGATGACAACGCATAATCTGATAAATATTCCAAAACTGCCGCTTGAAGATTGGGTTAGTGGTTTCGTTTCATGGTTGACGACCAACTTGTCTGGTTTTTTCAATGCAATTCAGCAAGCTGGGCAAGCCATTATGGACACCATCACAAATGCGTTGATGGCGGTGCCGATGCCATTGATGATTATTGGTATCACAGCGTTAGCATTTGCAATGACCACTAAAAAATATGGTTTCCCCATTTTTGCTGCTTTGGGCTTAATGTTAATTGCCAACCAAGGGCTTTGGTCCGATTTGATGAATACAGTGACATTAGTATTGATGGCATCAGTTGTGTCGTTAATTATTGGTGTTCCTTTAGGTATTTTAATGGCCAAATCGCCAAAAACGGCAGCTGTTGTACAACCTATTTTGGACTTTATGCAAACAATGCCTGGCTTTGTTTACTTAATTCCAGCCGTTGCTTTCTTCGGTATTGGTGTTGTACCAGGCGTGTTTGCCTCAATTATTTTCGCACTACCACCAATGGTTCGTATGACCAATTTAGGTATTCGTCAAGTACCAGTTGATTTAGTTGAAGCTGCAGATTCATTTGGTTCAACCACTTGGCAAAAGCTGATTAAGTTAGAGTTACCAAATGCGAAAAATACAATTTTGGCTGGAGCTAATCAAACAATTATGTTAGCCTTATCAATGGTTGTAACAGCTTCTATGATTGGTGCGCCTGGACTTGGGCGTGGTGTTTTGTCGGCGGTGCAACACGCTGATGTTGGTTCTGGTTTTGTGAATGGATTAGGACTAGTTATTTTAGCCATTATTATTGACCGATTTGCACAAAAGTTCAATACAAAGCCAGGACAAAAAGCGCCACTTAAGCCATGGCGTCGTTGGACAATTGTCGTTGCTTTGCTGGCTATTGTTGGTGGTGGTGTTGCTAATGCCATGACAACTAGTCAAACGACTGGTCAAAAAATTAACATTGGTTACGTCGAATGGGATTCTGAAGTTGCTTCATCTAATGTTTTGGCAGAATCACTTCGCCAGCATGGTTATGATGTTACTTTGACGCCATTAGATAACGCTGTTTTATGGCAGTCATTGGCAAACAACCAAGTTGATGTTTCGGTATCCGCTTGGCTGCCAAACACTCACAAAGCCCTTTATCAAAAATATAAAAATGATGTGACGCTTTTGGGACCAAACTTAAAAGGCGTTAAAACCGGCTTAGTGGTGCCTGATTATATGTCAGTAAACTCAATTAGTGATTTAACCACTCAAGCTAATAAAACAATCACCGGTATTGAACCTGGGGCAGGAGAAATGGCGACTGCCGAGAAGACTTTGAAGGCTTATCCGAACCTTTCGGGTTGGAATTTGTCGTCGTCATCATCTGGTGCCATGGTGTCTGCTTTGGCTAAAGCCTATAAAAATAAACAAGATATTGTAGTGACGGGTTGGTCGCCACATTGGATGTTTGGTAAGTATCACTTAAAGTATTTAGCAGATCCTAAAAACACCTTTGGTTCTGCAGAAACAATTAACACGGTTGTTAGTAAAAAACTCAAATCATCAGATCCAAAAGCCTATCAAGTATTAGACAAATTCCATTGGACAAAAGACGATATGGAGTCAGTCATGTTAGAAATTCAAAATGGTAAATCACCAAAACAGGCGGCGGCTGATTGGATTAAAAAACACAAAAAGTTAGTTGATAGTTGGTACCAATAATTACCATCAACAATTAAAAAGTTTGACTTGTTGTATCAAAGCAATAGGTCAAACTTTTTTTGACGTCATTATTGCCGAGAAACGAACTAATAAATTTATTACGCTTAAAAATAGTCATATAGTTCATCATTAATTCTTATCTCTTCACAATTTCTTGGTCTTCAGGTCGTCAATCGCTCAAATTCAATTGTTATCATTATTGTATTAGTTAAACAAGCACTTATAAATTTGGTCACATGATGTGTTTGTGAAGATAATGATATCGCATTTGACAATAATATGGAGAATTTAAGATGGAAAAAAGTAATAAACAAAAAGTAAGAACACGATTAACGATTGGCGCAATTATCATGAGTGCTATGGTATGGCTACTATTCGTCATATTTGCGCACCATTCTTATGTGATGTTATCAGAAGGATTTATCAATAGTATTGGTTTCCCGTTTCATCCAAATTTGAATACGGTAGCATTAATCCGTCAAGTTATTTTGGTAGCGACTGCAGTAACGCTGTTATATACCGCTTTAATGACTTTCAGTCATAATTTAGTGGTGAAGAAAGTGAGAAGTACAAAAATGCATTAACAATTGAAATTTTTTATCAACATTTTAGCGATTTTATCTGTTTTTTAGGGGCACTTAAAATGGTCGTGGTGGTTTACTCTTTTATTTTTTTGAGTAATGAGATCATGAATTTCAAAAGCAAAATCATGATTTAGATGAAGTTTTTGCTGTGATTCCGGCCTATAATGAGGAAAAAACCTTGTTGACAACGATTCAGTCAGTCAAAAATCAAGGGTTGGATAACGATCACATTATGGTGATTGACGACAACAGTAATGATGAAACCGTCAAAATTGCCACAATGGCGGGCGTTAGAGTATACACGAAAAACGAAAATAAGGGGAAGGCTGATAGTCTTAATTATGCAATCAAATTAATTGATGAATTAGCTGATCCAAATAAGATTGCTTATTTGCTCTCAATTGATGCTGATACGATTCTGCAAGCTAATGGTGTGCAACGATTATTAGACTATTTTTACGGGCATAATTATGGCGGCGTGACAGCTAATATGGATGTTGCCAATCGCGAAAATGCGTTAGCAAAGTCTCAAGTTGTCGAATTTAGTTCCATAGTTGGTATCATCAAACGTGCTCAGGTCGCTATGACGGGCACAATGTACGCTTATTCCGGCGCAACGACATTGTATGCAATGGCTGCTTTAAAAGAGGTTGGTGGTTTCAGAGAAGATCGCGCGACGGAAGACATTAGTATAGCATTTGATCACTCTTTGAATGGCTATGATGCTGGTTTTTTTTGCTCCGATGTTTAAAATTCTATAATGAATGTGCCAACAACGTTAAAAGATTTATACCGCCAGCGAAAGCGTTGGGCAAAAGGCGGCATTGAGGTGCTATTCACTAACCTATTGACATCATTTAAGCGTCCTAAAATTATTATGATGTTATTTGATCAATTTTTAACGATTGCTTGGTCGTTTTCATGGTTGATTATGTCAATTTATTTAGCCTATCGATTAGTTACAGAATTTTTGAGCGGTG